CGCTCTTCTGATTGGCTGTTGTTAATGATTGATTTGGTTGTGAGTGCAGTTGCAGAGAGACTCCGCCCACACGCTCTTCTGATTGGCTGTTGTTAATGATTGATTTGGTTGTGAGTGCAGTTGCAGAGAGACTCCGCCCACAAGCTCTTCTGATTGGCTGTTGTTAATGATTGATTTGGTTGTGAGTGCAGTTGCAGAGAGACTCCGCCCACAAGCTCCTCTGATTGGCTGTTGTTAATGATTGATTTGGTTGCGAGTGCAGTTGCAGAGAGACTCCGCCCACACGCTCTTCTGATTGGCTGTTGTTAATGATTGATTTGGTTGTGAGTGCAGTTGCAGAGAGACTCCGCCCACAAGCTCCTCTGATTGGCTGTTGTTAATGATTGATTTGGTTGCGAGTGCAGTTGCAGAGAGACTCCGCCCACACGCTCTTCTGATTGGCTGTTGTTAATGATTGATTTGGTTGCGAGTGCAGTTGCAGAGAGACTCCGCCCACAAGCTCCTCTGATTGGCTGTTGTTAATGATTGATTTGGTTGCGAGTGCAGTTGCAGAGAGACTCCGCCCACAAGCTCCTCTGATTGGCTGTTGTTAATGATTGATTTGGTTGCGAGTGCAGTTGCAGAGAGACTCCGCCCACACGCTCTTCTGATTGGCTGTTGTTAATGATTGATTTGGTTGTGAGTGCAGTTGCAGAGAGACTCCGCCCACACGCTCTTCTGATTGGCTGTTGTTAATGATTGATTTGGTTGTGAGTGCAGTTGCAGAGAGACTCCGCCCACAAGCTCTTCTGATTGGCTGTTGTTAATGATTGATTTGGTTGTGAGTGCAGTTGCAGAGAGACTCCGCCCACAAGCTCCTCTGATTGGCTGTTGTTAATGATTGATTTGGTTGTGAGTGCAGTTGCAGAGAGACTCCGCCCACAAGCTCCTCTGATTGGCTGTTGTTAATGATTGATTTGGTTGTGAGTGCAGTTGCAGAGAGACTCCGCCCACACGCTCTTCTGATTGGCTGTTGTTAATGATTGATTTGGTTGCGAGTGCAGTTGCAGAGAGACTCCGCCCACACGCTCTTCTGATTGGCTGTTGTTAATGATTGATTTGGTTGCGAGTGCAGTTGCAGAGAGACTCCGCCCACAAGCTCTTCTGATTGGCTGTTGTTAATGATTGATTTGGTTGCGAGTGCAGTTGCAGAGAGAATCCGCCCACAAGCTCCTCTGATTGGCTGTTGTTAATGATTGATTTGGTCCTGACTAGTTTTAATTAGTAATCTTGCAGTGTTTTCCAGTTAACATGTCTACAAATTCTTGAATGAAGACACATGTACTTGAGAGGAAACACTGCATGAGATATTAAGATTAAAATAATTTAATAAATCTGCAGTGCAATATTCAAGATGCAATCTATGCAAACGTAACGTCTCATGCAGTGTTGAGCTTTTCACTTTAGATACGGATCCAAATTATTAATAGTTCCTTTAGAAGGATGTAGTAACACTAAATGCATTACTAATGGGTTACCATTACCTTATACATTATGCATTATTGATATTAATTATGAACCTGTATATAGTAGTCTTCAGTGAGGTATGAATAATAGTAGTTATTGATTAGCTAATAGTGAACTTCCACAATCAACTGAGCGCTATTCCTAACTAACTCATTAATCAGAGTTTTGTGTTAGCTAATACTAGAGTGTTAATAGTGCGTTACTCGTTTGTCCCGGTGTAGTTGTTCACTAATGGAGGAAGAGTGTTACCCAGAAGTGCAGTTGTGTTCCCGAGAGCAGCGTCAGTGATGACTGACCCCAGCATGAGTTGCTGACCTTGACCTCGAGGAGCTTTACGAGGACGAGTGTCTCGTTCGGCTCTGCTAAATCAGATTACACGCGTGTCGCGCGCGCTCCACCTACGGCGGTGTAATCCAGTTATCATCACAAAAGGTCCCCAGTCGCTTCCTAAGCAGAGCGCGGGCGATAAATCTGTGAAATGAAATGAGCGTTTAATGAACACGTGGAGGTCAGGAGGTCGCCGATCAGTCATGTGACCCGCGTGAGTTTACACTGGACTCGTCAGTGCTGGTTAACGCTCATTAACCAGGGCAGATGATGTGGTTTTAATGGGCTAATGAGCATCACTGCAAACGAGGAAATGCAAATCTGAGGCGAAAAACTCTTGGTTTAGAGGAAAACGCTGGCTGGATAAAGTTAAAGTAAAAAGTATCTGCAAAACATGATTTCATAAGGACATGACTGCAGTGTGTGTGTAATCTCCGGTCTGTGGGGGAACTTGTTATTGGCTTTTAGAAGCCGAGCAGTGAAATGAACAAATGACGTTAGTCTAGGGTTTATTTCAGATATATTATATTACTGATGCTCTAATGGCTCTGTGGTGCGCCTGAAATAAACCCTGGAACACGCTCTCCGTCACCATCAGCTCTGACTGCGAGCGGGAGCACACGCGTGTTCACTCACAGCCAATCAGAGGATCTGTTCTTCCTCAGGGGCGACACTCTCTCTGCGCACCGTCTGTGAAGATGAAGACAGAGAGACAGACAGACAGACAGACAGACAGACAGACGGACAGACAGACAGACAGATGGACAGATGGACAGACAGACAGACGGAGAGACAGACAGACAGACAGACAGACAGACAGACAGACAGACAGACGGACAGACAGACAGACAGACAGATGGAGAGACAGACAGACAGATGGACAGACAGACAGACAGATGGACAGACGGAGAGACAGACAGACAGACAGACAGACAGACAGACGGAGAGACAGACAGACAGACAGATGGAGAGACACACAGACAGATGGAGAGACAGACAGACAGACAGACAGACAGACAGACAGACAGACAGACAGACAGACAGACAGACGGAGAGACAGACAGACAGACAGATGGAGAGACACACAGACAGATGGAGAGACAGACAGACAGACAGACAGACAGACAGACAGACAGACAGATAGACAGACAGACATATAGGTATAAAGACAGATAGATAGATAGATAGATAGATAGATAGATAGATAGATAG